TAATAAGCACTTAAATAGTCCTAATAGAGTAAAAAGGACTGCAGTTGCTAAATATTTTATTTCATATTTACTTTCTATAAAACAGCCATAGAAAGAAGCTGAAATTAACTGTGACTCAGTTTAGGGATTTGATTAGGGTCAGTATGTTCACAGGCTTATAAACTAAACATTAGTATAAAACCAGCAAGAGTCACATAACATTTAGGTATTGTGATCAAAAGCAGAATCATGACTGTGCTATAATAATTGATTCCGATATAAGATTTAGCTCACAGTTTGTATATTCTTCTCTGGCAGACACATTTGAAGATGATAATTGTTTCACCTCTGGAAGGGATGACCTTGATTTTGCTGGGTAAAAGACTTTTCTTCAGTCTGTTTACTGTCACTGTAACTGACTTTGTTTCTCTAGCATTTCCCAAATTGTTGTCCCTCAGAACACTAGACCAGAGGAACTGTGTGATATGTGGGGGAAATGTATTTAAATAATATGGGAAAGTGGATACAGTAGTATAATTTTGGACCTTTATAATGCACATTAGCATATTAAATAAAGACTCTTTGTGGTCTGTAACTCTTTCTCACCAAATCTAACAGCTTGGTAGTCTGGAGTCACCAAAATCCACTGCCCTCTTTTACGTTACCATTTGTTGTCTTGTTTTTGAGCAACGTAAAGAAGAAAACAAAAGGAGCTAAGGATAACCCAGATGAAGATTCAGAAGGCAGTGATGATGACTTCAATAACCTGGATGATGATGAAGTTTCTTTAGGAAGTATGAATGAAGAGTTTGCTGACATTGATGAAGATGGAGGAACATTTATGGATGTATTAGATGATGAAGGTGAAGGCATTCCAGGTAAGCATTTTTTAAATTGTAAGACAGAAACAAACTGTAAGATAGAGATAAACTCTGTCTTTTTTCGTCAACCTTAGGCTAGTGTCTGTTGAAGATTTTATTTTTTTAACATGGCACTTGCTATATATAAGGTCGCTGAGTCGGAATCGACTCGACGGCAACAGGTTTGTTTGTTTTGGTTTATATTCTAATTAACATTAAAATCGGCCAAAAATTTAAAGAGGATCTTTTGCCCTCTTAGTTGGAACTGAAGATTTTTTTTAAAGAAACAGTTGAGTTTTGAGTTTAAGCCTTTTTAATCAACAATTAGCCTGCCATTCACCCTTCAGCCAAAGATTAGACAGGCCTGTAAAACAAACAATACCCGTAGCTCAGCCATGTACACAAGAGTAAATGGGCACACCAGCCCAGAGGCACAGATGAGAAGGTAGGAGGGGACAGGAAAGCTGGGTGAATAAAAATGGGGAAGCCAAGGTTGAGAAGGGGTGAGAACGTTGACATGTTGCAGAGTTGGCGACAAATGTCACAAAACGATGTGTATTAATTTTTAATGAGAAACTAATTTGCTGTGTAAACCTTCATCTAAAGCACAATAAAAATAATAAAATGCCAGAAGGATCACCCATAATGGACAGGTTTCAGCAGAGCTTCCAGACTAAGATAGACTAGGAAGAAACCTATTGCCGTCGAGTCGATTCCGACTCATAGCAACCTATACGCCAGAGTAGAACTGCCCCACAGGGTTTCTAAGGAGCACCTGGTGGATTTGAACTGCCCAGCTTTTGGTCAGCAGTTGAGCTCTTAACCACTGCACACCAGGGCTCCATAGAAGAAAGGCCTGGTGATTTACTTCCAAAAATAAGCCAATGAAAACCTTATGGACAATAAAATATTGCCCGATACACTGCTCAAAGATGAGCCCCTTGGGTTGCAAGTCACTCAAAATTCACAGTAGCCACAACAATGAACTCAAGCCTACCAGCAAACATGAAAATGGTACAGGCCCTGGCAATGTTTCATTCTGTTGTACATGGGGTTGCCATGAGTCGGAGCCAAATCAAAGGAAACTGATGACAACAACCTTTAGTAGTAAGGCTAGATCCTTCATTTCTTCTTTTCTTCCTTCATTCTTCCCTCCCCGCCCCCCACTCTCTCTGACCTTGCCTCTCTCTTTCCTCATCCCAATTTGTTTTTCTTTCATTCTCTCTCCAAAAATAATTGTAAAATAATTTCTACTGGTGGGAGGTAGTGAAGGAAAGTGCAAAGAACACAAATGTTTGACCTAGCAAATAATTCTCTGATGTGTGGGACATTTGCCTAATCTCTCTAAATTTACCTCATAAGTATTTATGAACACTAATTAAATAGCTATAAAGGGCTTAGAGCATCCCTAAAACATAATAGGTGTTGTTGTTGTGTCCCATTGAGTCAATTCCAACTCACAGCAACCCAGTAGGACAGAGTAGAACTGCCCTAGAGGGTTTCCAAGGAGCAGCTGGTGGATTCAAACTGCTGACCTTTTGGTTAGCAGCCTGAGCTCTTAACCACTGCGCCACCAGGACTCCCTAATAGGTGCTAAATGAATATTAGTGTAGTAGGAGTTTAAATTTACATTCTACAATTCAGATGAAAAAAATGTAGTTCGTGTTTTTATAAGAAACTGATCTAATCTTGCTCCATACGCCCCATTTTCACTTAATAGTGGGAAGAAGGGAGGCAGTGTGATGGGATCTTGATCTTGGCAATAAAAATATCTTAAGTCTGTTCCAGATCCACAACAGTGTTTTGGCGTTAACAAAGTTTGAGGCTGTTTTGTTGTTTTAGTTAAATTGCTGTTTTAGGAAATATAAAGTAAATGAAAGTTCAGATGTGCTATTTATGCTATTTTTCCTGATTCCCAAGGAAACTTCCCACTTCCTCCTTATTTCCATAATGGGCCTAGGCAATGTTCTCATCATAGTCATCCCTTTGCCCTCCCTCCCCCATAGCTGACCCCTTTTACAAAGCAAGCATTTTCTCCTTCATTTCTTTGTGTGGTATGAATTTTTCTAACATCACATCTTCTGTCCAATGTCTTACAATAAATGTCTATGATTTGAGTTCCCCAGACAAGGCACCAAAAGGGAGTATTTGGAGTAGGCTGGCTTTGGGCAAATTAAAAAATTCATACCTTACTCAAATTAAGAAAAAGGAATAATAATTTACTGTATTTTTAAAGTTTTTAGTAATAATGGTGATAACAAAGTCAGTTGTGCAAATTATATAAATCAAAATTTGGAAAATAATATAATTAAAAATAGGAATATTTAATGACAATTAGATCAGTAGAACATAATTTGTTACAAAGAGTTATACACCTTGTTTTCATGGAGATTATTTATTACAATTTCAATGGGGAAAAATATGGGCTGCCGGTGTGCAATATCTGTTGAGCTGATAAATTGCCCTTTTCTTAATGTAGAATAGTAATTAGCAGTTTTAAAAAGTTAATATTCATCCTCACTCTATAGCATAAGTGAAGAAAGCAGACATTTTATCTTACTGTGTGAATTAACAGAGAGTACCCAAAATTGTATCCTTGGACTGTTTTCTAAAATCTTTCTTGTCCTTTCACTTATCTCCATGTACCTGCCCAACATCCTGCTTTCTGGAACACAGCAGAAATTTTTTTTTGTTTTAAAGAGTTTTATATTATTTGGTCGTATTAATGAATCTATCTTGTAAATTGTGTACTTAAACAAAAATATGCGACTGTGCCAATAATTATTCTTAGGGCTTTGACCTCACTCTGTCTTCAAAACCTCGTGGAACTGTGAAACCCAGATGATACAGTAAACTGTCTTTAATTTTTTTCGGTGGGCTAACAGAACTTGATGATGAGGACTGCTCCCAAGTCAGTACCAAAAGACACAAGAGAAAAGGTGTAGATGATTTTGACTTTGCTGGGTCATTTCAAGGTAAGAAAATGCATTTAATCTCTCTCAAACCTAAAGCACGGTCCGTGTAAAAGGCACAATTTATTCATTACCATTTTGGAGGATGAACATTTCTAAATTGGTTGGTATAATTCAGTTTTTTCTTTTAAAGAAAAATTTTTATAATGGTATGAGTTTTATGTATTTTTATTATTTCCCACATTGTTATGTTCTCTCAAGTTCTTTCCTCTCATGTTTAAATACCTCTAGATCATTTTTTTATTCATGTTGAAACCATTCAATTATATGTAAGCTCCAGATTTTTCCATAGATACCTGTTTCCTCTTTTCCTTTTCTCAACAAACTCTTATTCTTTGACATTTGACCCTTTTAAAAATCCATGTTCCTTTATTAACTTCATTTTCCTTTTTTTTTTTTTGAGATCTACCATTCTGCTGCCACAACACTTAGAGAGATTTTCCCTTTAAGGTTAACAGTTACAAGGTGCTAATCAAAGAAAAAAGGATATGTCAAGTAGCAGTTAAGTTTTGGATAAAAATGTAAGAAGCACTATAAAAAATATTCCATTCCTTAATTCTTTGGATAAATTCGGAGTCTTGACCTCCCCCCCTTTTTTTTCTATCATGCTTTGCTTCTAATGCCTCTCAAGCTTCTGCTTAACTAGTAAATATAATGAAGAATGAAAATAGACTCGCAAAGTTATCATAATAATTTACATTGGTAATATCTCACAGACTTGTGCCTATACATTTTTATTAGTTCTGTCAAATACTGCTAGCAATATCACAGTGAAGATATGTACCCTAATAGCTAAATGATATACCTGAGGCATATTTAAATTATATAAGTTATTTTCCAGACTTTATCTTCCTTTGTGTGTAAGATCACATTTTAATAACAACATATGTTCAAATACAAGGCAGAATTTTCCTCAGGATCATCCCTCAGAAAAGAAGTATTGCTTAACCTCAAGTCCTACTGAGCCTGTCATATTACAGGTTGCTCTCTTGATCTTATTTTGAATAATAGTACTCTTTCAGAAGACATATTAGCCTGAAAGGATCTCAAACCTTAATCAGTAATGGCTTTGGATGTTGATGAAGCAATAACAGACAAAATTGATTAAAACAAAAAAGGAGGCAAACAAATTTCAAACAGATGCATTAATTGATCCTGGGAGTATAACCCTACATTTGCAAATGTTGAGTGCTACTGTTAAACAAATCTTAACGAAACTTTTAAAGAGCAGCGTAGTAAATGCTTACTCATTTAAGCTCACAGATATCTACTTACAGGATAAATGAAAACCAAAAACTTGTCATAATGCTTAAAGTTAAATATTCAATAATGGCATCATACACAGATCTTAAATATCATACATATCACCTTGATAAAAATTAAAGTGAAATGCTCTGAAAAGTATTTCTCAAGTGGTTCTGATATGTCCACACAAAAAAGGATTGTTTGTGGCAGCATTATTCCTAATAACCAAAAGGGGGAAACAACCCACATGTCCATTAGCTGATGAATGGATAAACAAAATGTGGCATATCCATACAGTGGTTCAGCTATGAAAAGGAATGAACTCAATACATGCTACAACATGGATGAACCTCAAAAATGTAATAAGTGAAAAAAGATGCGTGCATTCATAAGGTATATCCAAGAAAGACAAAACTGTAGAAACAAGCAGGCTGATGGTTGGGGGGGGTTGTTAATAAAAAAGCCATTATGGTATCTTTTTGGGTGATGGAAATTTTCTAAAATTGGATTATAGTAATGGTGGGACAACTCTGTAAATTTACTAAAATTTATTGCAGTATGCATTTAGATCAGCTGGATTTTTCTGGCATATAATTATTGCTCAGTAAAGCTGTTTTTAAAAAAGAGATCTTAAGCAAAAAAGAAAGTAGCTCTAGTGGACCAGAGATGCTGATGTCAAAGATGCAAAGAGTTTGGGGAATATTGTTCAGGAAAAGTGAGGATGGATAAAAGTACTATTTCTAAGTTAGTTTTTAGATAATGTGATTTTAAATATTTATAAATTAAAATTAATAAATATTGTAAATACACACTTTAGTATTTTGTCTACATTCCCAAAGATTGATATATTCAAAATTACAGGTTTTTTTTTTTTTTTTTTTAAATAAAACAACTCTGAGTAGTATGGCCAAAACTTCATTTATAATATAACATACCTTCAATCAGTTTCTTCAGTTAATTCAAAGAATGACACTTCTCACTTTAGTTAGAATTTGTATTTTGCTTTAAATATGCCCAAACCCATCCATGTAAGCTTTGGCATTTTAATATTGCCTGATCCTATGATATTTCTTTTGAGGGTAAATCTTGATCAGTGGGCAAATCTGAAAGGCAAGAAGATGCTGTTGTCATCTGAACAGTTTTATTAGGATATTAACTTTAAAAAGTACATGCCAACTCTTATATTTGTCTTTAAACATTAGCTATTTAATGGGGCTAGAGGATAACTGCAGTTGTGTGTTTTAAGCCAAATAAAATATTTTTTAACAAAACCATGTTGAAAGATGTAGATTTTCCCATAAATCATTGGATTTTACAGTTGAATAATCTAGGCTTGTACTCTTCTTTTTTTTAAGGACCAAGGCCAAAAAAGAAAAGAAATTTTAATGACTCCAGCTTATTTGTATCTGCTGAAGAGGTAAGGTTAATGTAGTGTTTTAATAAGTTAACTATTCTACATTGTTTTAAGCTTTCTAATAA